CTTTTAGAGCTGAGAAAATCAAACCCAAAAAGGTTAAGTGACCTGTCCACTGTCTTAGTGGAAGAGATGCATTTAAATAAAGTTCTTCTGATTCTTGCTTCACATTTTCTATTTAAAACAACTTCATGCTCTAGCTAGGTTGGCTCAGTGGATCGAGTGTCAGCCTGGGACTGAAGGGTTCCAGGTTCGATTCTAGCCAAGGCCACATGCCTGGGTTGCTGGCTCAATCCTCAGTGGGGGGTGTGCAGAAGACAGCCAATCAATGATTCTCTCTCACTTGATGTTTCTCTCTCTCTTCTTCTCCCTCCCTCTCTGAAATCAATAAAGAAATATATTTAAAACAAACAAAAACAACTCCATGGTTTTCCATGAAATTAAATAATATTGACACATAAGGATATAACAGACGAGTAAGTTATCTTTTCATCATAAGAAAATGGTAAATACAGTACTTAGATTTTTAAAAAGTAGTTATCCTCAGGCAAAATTTCCTAAATTTAACTACTCAACACAGATTTTGTGTTTGTCTCCTGAACATGGTTTATATGTTATATATTTATGGTTATATATTTGAAGCAAACAAATTATATTTCTTCAGTGATAATTACTTGCTTTCCTATACATTGTTCATATTAGATATGTTATCTGAAGTGGTCTTCATTAGTGTCACCTCAATACATGACATACTGAGATTATCAGTGTATCTAACTTTAACAATGGTGCAAAAGGAAACCAGAGACTCAGAAAGCCTAGTAAAAGACTTGGTCATCTATGTGGTCAGCTACTTGGATTATTATGGCTACTTAATGTGAGAATAATACTTAAAAGAAGAATTTTGGCCAACAAAATAAAAGCCAGATCCATATGGTCAATTACCTTTCAATTTGAAATCAGTACCAAAAATAAACAAACAAAATATTGTGATGAATACATTGACATTCTTCAGTGAAAGAATGGAGGAGAATGCTTACCAAGACCCTTAGATGGGTGAAATTATCTTGGTTTACCAGGACAATATCACTGTTTTGCCCAGGAACGGCACTCATTGCTAAATAATGAGAGCTCACTTCTCAATATCATGGACCTTCATAGTTTAGCTAACAAATAAAGGTCTTTGTCCTCAGGAAAAGTAGGAAAAAGATCTCCTGAGATCCAGTATATCATTTAATCTGGCTGACCCATCCATTCTTACAGGTAGCAAGAGTAAGTCAATTTTCATTGCCATGATTCTGTGAGCCCAAAAAGAAGGGAGAGATCAGTAGAAGATAGAAACAGCTATTCTTGAGTGATATCAGGAATGAAAACAAACCTCAGCCTTCCAAGGAGGATGAGTATGCCAGCATTGAGCATACAAAGCAATTCTGAAATGTCAACAAAGGTTAAACTTCCTGATGACTAGAAGAGAATTTACTTTTCTCAAAAGTGACTAATATTGGTTTGTGTTTTAATCTTAAATCATCAGGATAATTAGCCTTCCTTCTTCTGACATCCCTTTAAGAAATGTTATGTGCTTAAATCCTCTATTTACCAGAACAATGTTATCCACTGTGGTGTGTAATTATGGGAGAACTTTTCCATTTCAGAACCTTCTGTGTATGGAATGCTCTTCTATATATTGTCAGTATAAAGACAAATAGAATACCCTAGCCCATAGAAAGTATCTGCCGGATGAACTGTAACTCTTCATTGCATTCTCTTTAATGTAGTGAAAGAATGACCTCATAAGGCAGGATAAGCTCTTACAAGCGAAATGTCAGTGATGTTCATTAGTAAGTGAGAACACAATTAGAAACACTTGCTACTAATAGTGTGAACACACTCTTCTGTTACAAAATGTCCTTTTAACACATCTGAAATTCTCAAATTCAACTGTTCCAATGTTTTAAATGAAGTCTGATGTGTCTGGGTAACTTTTAGCAAATACACTGGACTTATTTTTTAAATAGATTATGTACTATCTTCAGCAAATAATTATCTACTAATATTTGAATTGGAGCTCTTAGAAAAATAAAAGTCATGAATCAGAAAATTATTGTTTTCCACTGTCTCAATTTAAGCTGAACTTTAAATTAACATCTTCATAAAGTTAGGAAAGATCCACTTTTAGGTGCCATTCTTTGACTGACTTGGGACTGTAGGTGAATGAGTGTATCCTTCACTCAAACTGTGGAGTTATTTCTGAAATGACAGTATAAGTACCATAAGGGACAATGTAAAGTTGAAGAAGTGCTTAAATATTTAATCAGTATTCAAAATGATCCAAACAATTTCATGATATCCAAGTAAAATGAGTACATATATATTATTTCCTTGAAGCATTATTAAATCAATAAAACATTAAACATGAATGCATATATAATGAGTGGGTGTTAGAAAGCAAATATTAAACATATGTAGTTTAAATCAATAAAGAATTTCTCTGGAAAGAATAAACAACGTGACTGGAAAGCAGGAGGGAAGTGGGAAGAAAGGGCAGATGAAAGCTTCCCTGTTTAATTGCATATAAATTGTATTCAGAGACAGACAAGTTCTCTCTATGCCCAAATTATGTAGTTTATCCCAAGTGTGCAGGCTCCTCTGCTCAGCAACACTGATAAGGACACTAATAGCTTAATTACAACTTGCTGCTGAAGAAGATAAACAAAGCTGTTTGCTTTTAAACCAGGGGTTACAATTACTTTAAACATCAGGGACAGGCACATCTGCAAGTGGAGCTTACTATGTCAGGAAAACCACAGAAAGCAGCTGGAAAATAAAGCCCCAGGAGTGAGCAGCCAGCACCAAATTAGGGCAAAACCACTTGATTTGAGCAGTGGGGTAGTAGGCGTGAGGCATAGTAAACAAACGACAAACGTTAAGTGGGAAGGGATAGGAAAGTTTTAGGTGCTAAATCTTTCACATTTTCAGGGGGATTCCATCATAGAGATTGAGCACCTTTCCCTCCACTGTCAAGCTTACAATAAACTCTGTCACGGAGTCCTCTTCAGCACCACCAAAGAAGGACAGCTCCCTTAAACTAAGTAAGATCCATCAGGGACTGCCCTCCCTCGTTGACTACCCCACCATGCTCTGTAATGGATTTCTCTTTCGCTGGTGTCCTGGACACTTTGCTTTTAGCGGTATTCTAAGGGACATATGAAAAAGACTGGGAGCTTATTTGGCTTTTTTTTTTTTCTTCAGGCGAAAGGGAAACACAGCCTTTAAGAAAAAATCCATTCTTTTAATTGGTCACCAGAGAAATTTAACCAGGATAAAGGATTGCAAGTCACTGCGTTTAATCTAGTGGCAAAATGGTTTCAATAAGTCAGTGGTAGCCAAAGACACTAAGGCGATATACCAGAGTGTGATAGTAAAGGAGTTAACAGAATAAGTCCTAATATCACTGGGTGGGAAAATAATCTTGGCCTTGAAAGAAGCTCTTCTCAGTCAGTCCTTTTCAAGACCCATCACAACCTTATCCTTAATCTGGAACATACAACTAGAGGATTAACAGTCCCACAGTGAGACCTTAGGCTGTACAGCACATCACAAAAACTGCCAAAGCTTCCCCCAATAAAGTTCTTTTCCAAAGCCCCAATCCAGAGGCACACATCTCAGGAGCAACAAGGAAACATTTCATTAGAAACCAAAATCACCAAGACAGGAAAATTACACTTTTAAGTAACTTGTCTACTTTGGCACTTCCAGTTACCATCCTTCCAGTCATAAAGATATGGTTGCTGAGCGAACACATCTTGTTTCTCTATGCAGAGTTCTTTTTTTTTTTTTTTTGGTCCAAACTTCCTGATAGTGTGTAAAATACTTATAAGTTGAAGGTCCTCTTCTGTACAACAGAGTGTGCATGCGTGCACACACACCCCCACATCCACACACACACACACACACACACACACACAAATACTTTGATTCAGTTCCATTTTAAAGGGTTTAGTTTCCTAGATAAAAGGTATGTATCATCTGGTTTCAAAACTTTACTTTGAAGGAGGGTCTTCTGGGAAATGCCCTCCTTTTTGCATGGAGTTCCTGGAATACTAAGGGACTCTAGAAGGGAAGTGACACAGCTAGAGTGGAGGCTCAGCAGTCATTTGAAAAGGCAGCGCTCTGGAGTTGGTGGAGAACAACTTCCCAGTGACAGTGACCATAAGCTAGTAAGGGGGCCGAGAGGGGCGTGTCTGCCTGTGAATCTGTAGCAGTAGCAGCAGTGGGGTCAGCAGACACTGGGTGCTTCTCAACTGAAGCAACTTGACTCTCTGAATCCCTTAGTCCTCTCTATTGCTTTATTTTTTTTCCCTTTCCTTCCTTCTTGCCTTCCCTCCTTCCTCTACCTCAATTACCCTTTTCACTCAATTCCATCTGAGTCACTTTGGGCCCCGTTCCAGTGACACCATCAAATCACCTAACGTGTGCCCTACAGACCATGATAGTATAATGATGATCACAATGGTTAGCTTGCCAACTGCCTAGTGCAAGGAACAAGTCCTGCTCTTAGCTGTCAACCTCACCCACTGTCTTCGCTCCAACACCACAGCAGTGGTACCAACCAGACAAAATCACCAGAGTCTGAATGTCACCAGCAAGTTCCACCCATCCTGTAGTAGCCCTGCCAGCAAACCTCACCAGCAGAGCACTGGCATCCTGACCCAGCTCTAGGTGATAACTCTGGTCATTGTTATCAGTGACAACACTCCTCAAGGAGAGGGGAACCCCGCGGGTGACTCCTAGGCGAATGTAGGGCTCCACGCAGGCAATACCCTTCCCACCTCCGCAGCGCAGGCGCGCGCGCACACCCCCCACACACACCCTCCTCACACCAGCACCAGCGACACAAAGAGAGGGAGTGAGCGAGCCGGTGCTGGGCTGGGCTGGGCAGAAAGGGGACTGGAGGGAGGGCATCGCCAGGAGCGGACACCCAGGAGGGCAGAAGGCTGAGCCAGCCGGCGGGGAGAAAGGTAGAGAGGGGAGCTTGGAGGGGAGAGAGCCGGCTGGAGGGTCGTCCTTACCTGCCCCCAGGTTGAAGGAAATCCTGGCCTCCGCGAGGTATGGCGTGTCACTCTTGGAGCGGACTCTCCTGATGGGCCGCCTGTCTATGTCATCCTCCGAAGATGCCGCCATTAAGGTGGGAGGCAGGAGCAGGGTCGCCCGGCGAGCTGAGAAGGAGAGGGAGAAGGAGAAGAGGGAGGAAGAGAGGCGGAAAGGGGAGGAGGGGAGAGGAAGAGGCTCACACCAGAAGAGGGGGAGGGGAGAGGGGGATGGGAGAGGAAGGGAAAGGGGATGGGGAGGAAAGGGGAAAAGAGGGGGAAAGGAAGAAAGAAGGAGAGAGAGAGAAAGAGAGCAAAGGAAAGAAAAGGGTGAAGAGGGAGAGAAAGAAAATCCGTTAAGGATTTGTGGACTGGAGCAGAGATCAGGCAGGCTGCCTCTGGCTGGCGCCCAGGGCTCCCCCTAACTCTTCTCCCAGCCTGGACCAACGGGCCAGTGCTGGGGACTGACACCCTGCCTCCTGCCCGCAGCCAATTCCCAGCTCTTGGCACAGACAGGCTGATGCGAAAGAGAAGACTCCGAAGCAGAGATGCTCAGTCAGCACCATGCCCTCTCCCGCCAAATGCACTTACTCTGCTCTTCAAGCGCACACCAGGGTCTCCTTAACCCACAGGAGTCTCCAGCCAGAGGTACCTGCCTCAGCTTTCCCTGCAAGGCATTCTTACTACTCCGGTGTAAGTCCAGGCCCAATTGGCCAAGGAGGAGAGCACTGCACCCAGGGTACCCCTCTGCTTCATCTTTCCCAACCCAGAGCACAAGTAGAGATGAAGCCAAATCAGGAAATTCTTAGATGCTCCCTTGAACCCTGGAGATGGAAAGAAAGGAAAAGTATGTACAACTTTAAGAGCAGTTTGGCAGGAAAGTTTCTAGAGTTGATGTTTTGAATGTGGAATAGGCATATCCAAACAGAACTGAGTGGCTCTTTTTTTTTTTATAACTATGACTTTCTATGATGTGCTTATCTTTACATAAATATCTATTCGTTTAACCTTCAAGTTTCTCTTTATTTGGTGACTTAGGCACAGATAATAGTCCTCTATAACCCCTTACCGTTATTTGTGAAGGTGAGGGGAAGATCAAAGGCACTTTACATTCCTTTGAATGTGTGCACTGCTACTTTCACATGTTGCCAGCACAAGGACCTGGAAAGGTTTCTGGAGTATGAATCATAATGGTTTGATGCTCCTGTGAAGCTATTGATGGGCTTAACTCTTTTATGTCTGACTTTCTGCAGCTTCAGTCCCTTGGCCTTTTTGTGGCTTGATATTCTTTCTAATAAGAGCCACCTGGGGTACATGGATATATGTCACCTTGATTCTCTCCCTGCTACAGAGGACATCTCAGTGTCAGGTCATGCCTAACACTGGTGTCAGAGGAGGAAGTGCCGCTCTGACTCTGCAAGACTTCCCTCTCCCCTTCATCTGTCCATTCTAACACACATCTTGTACTCTTGCACCCTAGGATCTTCAGTCCCTCTTCTTTGGTCTCTTACTTCACACACAGGTAGTAACTCTATATCTTAGAAAAAACATATCTGCCCCTGTCCTTACTGTTTCTCAGTCTCTACCATACTCTTTCCTTCCCATTCTGTTTAACTTTCCTGTGGGACTCTTGGCCCCATAGACTCCATTATTTTCACTCTCAATTCCCTCCTTTCGTCTTTATAACTGGTTTCTATCCCCACTCCCAGTCATAGTTATTTTAAAGGTCACTAACACTCTCCTAACAATTAAATCCATTTCTTTTTTTTGACCTCTTTAAAGTATGTAGTAATCTATACTTTTTGAAATAATCTCCTCTGTCCTTTCTGTACCAGACTAACTCTCTAACAACTTGATTTCTAATTGTCAGCCAATTCTTTATATGTTGGTTTAAAATTACATGTCTTGGCATTTGAGGCCCTTCACAATCTGATTTCAACCTGTCTTTCCAAATTTATCTACTTTTTACCTCCAGTGTGCTTGGAATTGTCCTAACAAATCTGGCTTGTTTATGCATTTGTACCTTTGCTTGTTTTTACACCAGTTTCTTTCCTACAAACTTTCCATGTTCTCCCTCAGGAATATAAGATAAATGACTCATTAGTTTATGGCATGAACCCACTACACAGTAATTAGTCAATAGATACCCTACATAATAAAAGTCTAATATGCAAATTGTCCCCTCGGGCAGTCATTTGACCTGGAGATCTATCAGGAGTTCGGCCTTTTGCTATGATGTGTGCTGACCACCAGGGAGTGGCACAAAACATGGTGGGCTTCCATGACACAGCACTGGCAGCCAGTGACAGTGGAGGCACTGCTGGCCCTGATAGGCCCCAATAAGATGGGGACAGTGGCAGGATGGTGGAGCAGGTGAGTGGACAGCACCAGGCCAAGGCAGGTGTGAGTGTGTGGGGTAGGGGGGGCAGGGACCTGCCCTTCCACTTCATATGCTTGTGCTTCAATTACCAGCCAGGCCTAGGAAACACATCCACGCAAGAATTTCATGCACTGGGCCTCTAGTTTTTGAATAAAAGAAGAGAGGAGAGGGAAAGAGGAGGGTAAAGAGAAACCAGAGAAAAGACAAAAGGACTGAATGAGGGTTATTAACTAAAGAGCAGCTGAAGTGGGGGCCAAATCCATGTCTGTTTCATTTCAAATCATGTGTCCTTAACCTGCTAAGTATCTATATTTGGCTTATTAGCCATATTTTAAGTTCACTTTTCTGTGACACTTGCCTCATTATTATGTCCCATTTATCTTTGTAAAACATAGATTAAAAATGGATGCCTCCTGTCCCAGGAGGCACAAGAGGGCATTTGGTGCATCAAATGAACCATGACTAATCAGGCTGCAAACCAATATTATGATTGTAACATTTATGCTCAGGCTGGTAAGGAGTTGCAAGAGTAAGGAAATAAATGCAAACAATTCTGAATATTGTATAAACTATCCCTTTCTTTGAATTAATGCAGTGCTATTTGATTGTTTAAAATGTTTGGGATTCCCCACCTCCTTGTCTGTTCACTCATCAGCCATGTCTCTAAAATCAATCAATAAAGTCATTTGAAGGAATCCCTAGACTAGCTTTCCCAGTGTTTCTTTGATTTTACATATTAATGATTCTTAATTCAGAGAGGTACATCTTTGAATTTCTATTTCTTCTTTGTTCAACATTTTAGAGGACTAGAAAGTTAATATTATCACTACCACATTAGGTTGGCCTTTCTTAGAGATATTTAAATACACGTTTATATTATTTCATTATGAGCTATTTTATTATTGATATAAAATTATAGATAAATATGCTTTTTACAAAAATAACATAAAATACTAATCTACCTTCATGATCTTTTATTATTTTATCTCTATTTTCAGTTTTGACTCTAATTTTCTATTTTTTGGTTTTCCTAATTTACTGTCACCTTTGTCTCATTTAATTTTTCCAATTCTTTTTTCACTTTGCCTCTCTTTTGTCACATCTCTCTTAGTTTTAACAATTCCTTTCCAAAGTCAGTCCCATTTAATTTATCTCCCTCTATATGAAGTATTTACTTTTGTGGGCTTGTCCCAATGTTTCCACATTCTTTATTCCCTGGGATTCCTATCATATACATAATCTTGTATCATAAAAGTATTGGACTGAGTGGCATTAGGGAAGAGTCTGAGGTGGAAATCAGGGAGGGTGGGTGCTGTCCCCATTACTACCACCACTGTCAATTAACATCTGACAACCTGCTCACTCTACCAGGATGGGTCTCAGCCACCTTAGATATAAAACTTTAAGGGTCAGTCACCTTAACTATAAAACTTTAAGGGTCATCTCAGTTAGTGTTGCTCAGTGGTTGAGCATTGATCCAGAAACCAAGAGGTCACCCATTCCATTCCTAGCCAGGACAAATGCCTGGATTATAGGCTCAATCCCCAGTAGGGAGCGTGCAGTGGATCAGTAATGTTCCTCTCTCATTGATGTTTCTATCTCTCTATCCCTCTCCCTCTCTCTAAAAAAATCAATAAAAACATATAAAAATGTAAGGATCTAAGTCTTAATACTCCAGGAATATTTGCAGGTATTCTTCTAACTTTACTCTTTATATCAGTGTCTATACATATATTCTCTCATAACCTAAGATAATACACTGTTCCTTTGATTTATACCTAATCATATTCAGAAAACCACATGGTATCCATATTTCTTTTAAGTAATTTTATATCATTTGTCTATTTTAGGTAATGATACATCCTTTAAAATCTATTTTTTTCTCATACCATTTACATTATGAGGCAACACAAATATAATTATTTGTGTGTATACATGTGTGGATATGGGTATATATATAGAAAGAATTGAATTAAATTGTGACCACAATAACTTCAAAATATAGTGGATATTTGTTTTATTTGTTTGTTTGTTTTTCATTTTAAAGATTGCTTCTTTTTTTAATATGCTTGCTGACTCAGGGGCTCTTTTATTCTTTTCTTTTATAAAGCTAATCAACTTCTTAACACTGAAGACCCTTACATGCAAGTTATAACTACAGCTATATCCCAGAGAAAGAGAAGCAGCATAATAGAATGCTCAACAAATAACATGTTATACATCCACCACTGGCATAGAAGAGGGTGGAGATGGGAAGGAGAAGCAGGAGGAAGACTGCACTATTCCATCCTAGTCAAGAAAAATCTTTATTTAGATGAGTGAAGTATATTCTTTAAAATATTATTCAAAGTGAGTTCTAGGGCATCCATGTATCAGTATCACTTGGAATATGGGTTAAAATGTAGATTTTCCAGGCCCCCAACATGGACTTATTGAATTTTGAGGGGATGTTACCTTGGTACCTAGATTTTCAAAAGGCTCCTAACTATGTTTATTCTCAACACTGATGTTCATCATTATACTGGAGATCTTGGTCAAGTCAATAAGATAAGTGAAAGAAATTTAAAAAGATATAAGTATTGAGCCGAAACCAGTTTGGCTCAGTGGATAGAGCGCTGGCCTGCGGACTGAAAGGTCCCTGGTTCGATTCCGGTCAAGGGCATGTACCCTGGTTGTGGGCACATTTCCCCAGTGGGGGGTGTGCAAGAGGCAGCTGGTCAATGATTCTCTCTCATCGATGTTTTTAACT